GTTTTAACTCTAACATAAGAAAACTTCATACAATAAGAATAATTATCAGGTAAGAATTACATTCATAATGTCCAGTCCATTTGTATATGGTAAATTTGGAGAAAATACTGTATTATCTATCCTATCTTTGTCCAAAGTCTTATACCTAAACTATCTTTGGTCATAACTTGTATTACCATCCTAAAAATATCTTTTTAGACCTTAAAACATCTTTTTAGATCAACAATTTAAGCTTTTGTTTCTTAATCTTATAAGCTTTACATCTCTTATGTAAGTTTTTTAAAATTTGATAACATAGAAAACTGTAACTATAACTATCTTGTCTTCAATTCCATCAGAGATCAGAGAATGATAAAATATTACATAAGTAAACAGGAACTGCAGAGCAAACAACTTCCAAAACTATAGAAATGACAAACACATCTGGCTGCCTGGACAGACACCCTGTGGTTCCTCTGTAACACTGGAGCATCCATCCTTGGCCTACAGGCCTAGAATATCTGACAGACTTTTCTGTGAAGCAGGGATTTTTGAAGGACTATCCTACCCTGTCTTGGCAAAGTTCAGCAGTCACTTTCTTTTGTGTCCTGTCCTGTTTGTCCAATTTGGACAGCATACTGTCAGCAGTCCCAGGGCAGTTTCTTTGCCCAATGGCTAACTTTTGCCACAAAGAAAGCAAATTCCATATTGGAGGTTTTTCAGTACCCATCTCTGTGGTAATTGGTGCTGCCAGGAGCAGACATGTCTCAATGTCATTAAAAAGCCTTATGCTATTAAAACATCTTAAAGGCCTTATTCTGTAGATCTCTGAAGTGTTTGAAGACCACCCATCTATCTAAAATATATCTCTGTTTGACCTTGAAAACATACCTAACATGGCCACAAATTTTATTGATATATATGACTACTAATCTACATTTTTAATTATCTTTAACAGTTTGTAATAATAACTTTCAAGGACTATAAATTTATGTTTCATGTATGCTTGAGTTTAGAGAAGGAAAGAAAGAACCATGCTCCAACTCCAAAGCCAGCTTTGATTTTTAATTCAAATGAGACTACAAAAAGACCATTTGCTTTATATGTCTGTAGAGAATAGCAGAAACAAATGCTTGGAAAGATTTTATAAAATTTTATCCTTTTGGGAATGTACTATGTCATTAGGCCAATTTATTCTCTATTCTCTTTCTTGGGACATTTTCTCTGAATGATTCATTCTTCTTCTTCAGATATCTCATTTGTCCAGTGATCTTCAGATTCCTGAATTCTTTTATTAGTTGGATGCTTTTATTCTCCTAGAAAGAAAAAAACAAAACCCTGCCCCAACCCTAAATTTTGGAGTTTTGCTCTTTTGACAAGTTATATCTGGTCAAATGAAAGGCATTTGTTAGTTTTATAAGTTAGTTTAGATTGAATGATAATGCTGTATGAGGAACTATCTCCTTTTTCTAATCTGCCCCGACCCACGGGACATTCAACATGGGGGCTGGAGGGCACCTAGGAGAAATATGGGGGACAGGAGATACGAAGAAAGATGCCAAGACAGGATTCTGATTAAGGTGACAGCTTTATTTCATCCCAAAGGGATTTATATAGGGGAATGGAGGAGGGGAAGGAATGGAGTGTGCTGTAGCTGCAATGCGCCTGGCGTAGCAAAGGTCAGTGGGATGGGTAGGTCATCCTGTGTCCTCTGGTAATCTAACTGCAGACTCTAACTTTATCTTTCATATTCTACCTTCTACTGTTCAAGCCTACGCCCTAGTGACTAGGCATATAAGGTCTGTTTCCTCGGAACTTGCTTCCTATCTTAAGAGATGGTATTTCAGAAATGTGACCTGGAGTCACGTCCTCTCTATCTATGAGGAGGACGTGATAATGCTATGGCTGAATTATGGTGAAGGCCCCCGACACTAATCAAGAGGTCTTTCCTGTTTGAATCTAATCTTTATCAATTTTGATGGTATCCATAGCTTTTCTTTTTTGATGGATACAAAGCAAAACATCTTCTCCAACATAACACATATCCTGGTTTCCATTCTGAGAGCAACACATCTTTAAAGAATACAGGCTTATTTAATTCAGCAGTGTTTTCTACTATCTAACGTCTCTTCACAGCTGTTGCTTCTTTATCCTAAAGGGTCAAGACCCTCTCTAATCCCTGCCCTACTACTTCCAGTGTCTCTATATCTGTTCTCAGTTCTCCAAAACCTCGATGGTTAATTTTGGTTGCTAGTAGCTAGCTTTGTCCTCTGATTCAAAGCAAACTTTACTGTCAGTCTCTGGAGCATCAGAATGTGATCAGATTATCACACAACAATAATCTTTCCAGGAAGTCACACAACAGACAGTGACAAGGTTGTGGGAAAAAAATGGAATCCTTGCACAACACAGCATTGGTGAGAATATAAATTAGTCCTACCAGTACAGAAAACTGTGCTGGGGTGTGGTGATATATTACTTATGATTTATTAAATCTTGCCTGAGGATTCAGAAAGCAAAGTCAGTCACAAGCTTTAGCGACCAGACAGTAGTGATATACACCTTTAATCCCAGGATTTAGGATTAAGAGGTAGATAGACTTCTGAATTCAAAACCACCCTGGGCTACCAGAAAGCGAATCTGAGCTCACGCCTTTAATCCCAGGATTTGAGAGGTATAAAAGATAGAGGCATTCAGTCTGCATTAGTCTCTGGCCATGTTTAGGAGAACATAGCAGTCTGAGTAAATCTGAGGAGCAGTAAAGCCAAGAGGAGTTTGAGGGTCTACCCTTTGGTCTGAGCTGAGATAGAAGTAAGAGCTAGTGGCTGGCTGCTTTGCTTTTCTGATTTCCATCTTGGAACTTGAACCCCAATATCTGTCTCTGGGTCTTTTGTTTATCATGTTACACTGGGGTCCCACAAAAATTCCAGAACAACCATATGGCCCAGCAATTGCACTGCAGTTATTTATGCAAAGGAAATAAATCAATATCTATCTCAAAAAGACATCTGTACTTCCCAGGTTAATCCTAGCCCTCTTCACAATAATCAAGAAATAGGAACAACCTATGCATCCATCAATGGATAAATGAGTTTTTTAAAGGTACACACATGCAATGCAGTAGTACCTAGCCATAAAAAACAATAGAATTCTATCAGTTGCTACCACATTGATATAGCTGGAAGACATTACATTAAAACAAATAAGTCAAGTGTACAAAGACAAATACCACATGATCTCGTATGTGCAACCCACATAGTTATCACAGGGAAGACAGTATGGTGGGTAGCGGGGGCTGGGAGTGGTGGTGGCAGTCGGAGTTGACAGTGAAAACATTTTGGTTAGGTAGGAAGAATCAGGCAAGGAAGGAATTTACCATGCAGCATGCTGACTACACGTAATGATATGTTGTATCCTTGGGAGATGCCGCGGTAGGTATAAAATGTCCTCACCACAGATGGTCCCTGTGTGAGGGAGCATGTACATAACTTAGCTAGATTGGATCATCCCACTGTGTAGACATACTTTAAAAACATTCATGTACATATTTTGTCAATTAAAAGTATATATAGCATAGACATACTTCTCAATTGAAATGTAATTTATTCTTTAGATAAGGCAGGGTCTCTCTCTAGTGAAGGTTGGAACTCACTGTGTAACCAAGACTGATCTCAAACCCACAGCAAACCCCTGGTCTCAACTTCCCAAGAGCTGTGATTTCAGACAGGAGTAACCACGCCTGGTTCTTTCTTTCTCTGATAACCACTTGCCTTATAAATAAAGACTTTCTTTTCTTCTGCTGGTGCTTGTGCTAGGCAGACACTCTACCACTGATCCACATCTCCAGCCCTTAAAATGTGGGGTGGGGTTTGTATATTCACACACACACACACACACACACACACACACACACACACACACACACGCACGCACGCACGCACGCGCGCACACACACGCACAGATAATTTTTGCATTGAGAAGGGGTCTCATTGTGGAGGACTGGCTGTCCTGGAATTCACTATGTAGAACAAGCTGGTCTGTAACTTACAGAGATCCACCTGCCTCCACCTCCTGAGAGCTGAGATTAAAGAACTGTGCCACTGTGCCTGGAGCATATATACAAGTTTAAATCTCATATAAGAGAAAATATGTGAGGTTGAGCATGGTGGCATACATCTTTAATCCCAGCCAGGGATACATAATGAGATCCTATCTCAGAGAGATGGGGGGTGGCAGCATTTGTCTTTCTGAATCTTATTATTTGATTTAATATGATTTCCAGTTGTGTCCATTTTCTGTAGTATCAGGATTTCACCTTTTCTTCTCTTTTCTTTTTTCTTTTTCTTTTGAGGGTCTCTCTATATAGCTCTAACTGTCCCGGAACTCACTATGTAGACAAGTCTAGGCTGGCCTCGAACTCACAGAGATCTGCCTCCCTCTGAATCCTGAGTGCTGAGCTTAAAGGCGTGAATCACCACACCCAGCTCATTTTTCTTTATGACTATATATAATTTCCATTTTGTGTGTATGCTACGTTTTTCTTTATCCATTTTCTGCTGCTGGCCATTTAGACTCCCTCTTTGAAGCAGGGTCTTCATAGTAGCTCAGCCTGTTTTGGAAGTTGCTGCACAGCCTAGGCTTCTCTGGAACTTTGGATCCTACTGCCTCACCCTCCTGAGTGCTGGGAACAAAGGCTCTTGGCACCAGTAACAAATGCCTTTGAGTGATGTACTCAAGATAGGCCCCGCTGCATAGACTAAGCTAGTACACGGGGAACCCAGAGACCTTGCCAAAGAACTACTGACTTCAGCTGCTTTTATCAGTAATGTTTGAATCTCATCTGATTCTGCTGTGGACCTTCCGAGACAAGAAAGGACAACACTCCACGCTGGTTGATACACAGGCTCAACTACTCCAAAATGACTAGCAACAAACAAGCATTGTGACTCCCCTCACTGCCCCTCCTGAACCTCCTCCTCTCCTTCCCTCTGTCATTTTACTTTGCTCCCCCCCTTGCCCTCCCCTCCCTTCCCATAGCTTACTGGGTGGTGTGGTGAGGGCTGTGCACTCCTCATTCTCAGCTAAGGGTATAATTCCTGGGAACTCTAAGAAGGGCTGAGGAACAAATCACACTGTGTGCTCAGAAGTTCTTTTGAGTTGGCCCCTTTTTGTTTTCTAGTTCTGGCACCCAGGAGCTCCTTGACGTCACTGCATAAAACCCAGCAGGTATGAGTGGAATGGGAATTTGATGACCTAGACCTTGAACTTACAGTTCTCCTACCCCAGCCTCCTAATTAACTTGGGATTCTAGGCCCATGCCACCAGGCTCAGATCCTAATCATTCTTTATTCAAAACTTGCTTGTAATTATTTTTGAGCCAGGCATGGTGGTTTGTGCCTGTGATTCCAGTACTTTGGAGGTGGGGCCAAGACAAAGAATTCAGGGCAATCCCCAGCTATATAGTGAGTGAACTTAAGACCAGATGGAGCTACATAAGACCCTGACTCAAAAAAACTAAATATAAAAGCTTGGCATAGTAACCGAATCAGTTTTCTGTCACTGAGAGAAAACAGCTGAGTCATTACATGGCTGAAGAGGCCTGTTCACTTTATGGGAGAGAAAGGGCAGTTTCTCAGCAAATGCAAACTCCCAATGACTGAACTTCCTTATAGGCTCCACCTCCTGAAGGTTCTACCATCTCCTAACAGTCACCAAGTCTTTCCAGGCCTTTAGGTGACAGTGGAGAGCTAACCTAAACATCAGGTGTACACCATGCTTACAATCCCAATATCCATGAGAGGGAGGCAGGAGGATCTTGGGAAACTCAGCCTGGGCTACACTGAAAGACTATCCCAGGAAGATACTAAGCAATCAAGCAAACAAGAAGATCTAAACTACAGCAATTTGGTTCTTTGGAGGATAAAAGTACTCCTTGAAGTTTATATATTCTGTCTAAGTTGAGCATCCTGGCCTTCAATTTTCTATGTAGCCAAGAACAACCCTGAATTTCTGATTCTCTTTCTTCCACCTCCCAAGTACTGGGATTGTAGGGTTGCATCACTATACCTGGACAACTTAATGAGGGCTTCTCATAAAATAAAACACTGGAGAGATGGCTCAAAGAGCAAAGACACTTGATACCAGGCCTGATGGCCTGAGTTCAATTTCCAGGACCCATATGATGTAATGTCTTAGTGTTCTGTTGCTGTGAAGAGACACCAGGACCATGGCAACTCTTATAAAAGAAAGCATTTAATTGGGGCTGGCTTACAACTTGGAGGTTTAGTCCATTCTCATCATGTCAGGGAGAACTGTGGCAAGTAGGCAGACATGGTGCTGGAGAGGAAGCTGAGAGTTCTACATCCATAGGCATCAGGAAGAGAGAGCCTCTGGGCTTGGAATGGGCTCTTTAAAACCTCAAAGCCCACCCCCAAGTGACACTTCTTCCAACAAGGCCACACCTCCTAATTCTTTCCAAATAGTACCACTCCCTGATGACTAAAACATTCAAATATTTGAGCCTATGGGGGCCATTCTTACTCAAATTACCATATGGAGGGAGAAAACCAACTCCCCCAAGTTGTCATCTTACTTCTATGTGCACACTGTAGCATGTGTACACACACACACACACACACACACACACACACACACACACACACATATATATATATATATATGTATATAAATATAAAGCAGGCCTGGGGATATGGCCTAGCTTTCATGAACTTGTGTCCCCTAACATTTCTAAGTCAGGGTATATTGAATTAATGAATCATTATATATATAATAAATCTATTAAAGTTGCTAAAGTAGATGGAGCAGGCAGTCCTCATCTGGATATCTGTGTCCCAAATCCTTCATGCATTTTTAAAATTTTCTTTTGTTTCTCCCACCGGCCTGCATGCATTTTAGAAGCATAATTTGTGCGTACTCTACTAATCCCAGTGTCAGAATGTCTCATACAGTGGCTTGCTTAAAGGGCAACAAAGGGAAAATCACTACTAAAATCTAAGCGAGGAGAATATGTAATTAAGACACTTATATGCCTTCTAGCCCATTGATGTAGAACATAAACATGCCTTGGACTCATTACCTAAGATTATCTCTCTCTCTGTTGTGGACAACTGCACAGACTCAGTCAAAGTGCTAAGAGCATGTCTGAAACTCTGCTCCAGGTCTACAGTTCCTGTGGCTGGTACTGCACCTGTTCCATGAAAAGGAGACAACATGACCTAGTACCCGAGGTTACAATAGAGGATGAGACCCACAATGCTGTGCATATCCCTCAAATGGACCATCCTTACCACTCCCTTCTACCTGAGACACACATACATGCTGTCTCCTAATAGCTTCTATTATAAAGAGCTGTCATCGGTGAGTTCCCGCAAATGCCTTAAACTGGAGAATTTCTCCACAACAGGGGAGCCAACGTGTCTGAAGTTTTCATGAAAAGGAGCCCACCTCAAGAGAATGGTTAATAGAAAGCAAGAAGGCTTGCTTGTAGAACCAGGTGTCTGCATTAGGTCTCAGTCCAGGCTTAAAAGCTAAATGGAGTCAATTTGTATTTATTTGTGTTCCAGTCACCAAGATGTAACTAACCAGAAAGCCCTTGATCTGATCTTCCAAGAAATCGAGACAAGGCAGTGAACAACCACATCAAAAAGATGACCTTCAGGAGCCTGGATTGTCCCCAGGTAGTTCCTCCTACCGTGCCTCTCAAGGGGAACAATGACCAGCCTGCTTTTGTCCTCAGTTTCTGCTTCCGTCTCCCTCTTTCCACCCACCAAACCAATTCTGCCTGCCTCACTGACGCACATTCTGCTTCAGGGTTCTCAACCTGTGGGTCGCAACCCTTTGGGGCCTGAATGACCCTTTCACACTGGGTTGAATATCAGATAGCATTCTTCCCCAGCCTTATACTCTAGCCTCTCCCAGGCACCCCGAGGCCGCATGTACTAAGGCAGAATTGCATACAACTGCTCACAACAGGTACATGATCATCTCTGGCAAGCAAGCCCAGATGGACTCTTGACAATGGTCGCAGTCTGGCTTCCAGAGTGTTCCATCCAACACTCAGCCTCCTGGGTGCTGAGGCTAAAGCGCCACCATGCTAACTAGCATTGTTTTTTGAGACAGAGATTTTAGTAGCCCAATCTGGCCTTGAACTCACTATGTAGCTGTAGCTACACTGAGCTACTCCATGGCCTGTGTCGAGAGGAGGAGCACTGGGGGCAGTGACTGCTTTCCATCTTTTCTCTGTAATAGCACGATTGTGCTCTTAGTCATGATGCTTTATAACAATGCAGCGACATCCCAAGCTGTGGGCTTACAAGTTTAAGAACTTGTATTTCTTTAAAAACATTTAATTTTGCCAGACATTGGTGGTGCATGCCTTTAATCCCAGAGCTCGAGAGGCAGAGGCAGGTGGATATCTCTGTGAGTTCAAGGCCAGCCTAGTCTACGTTCCAGGGCTGACTCCAAAGCTGCAGAGAAACCCTGTGTCGAAAAACCAATATATATATGTATATATATATATGAATTTAATTTTTAATTATGGGGGAGGGGTAAGATGTGTGCATCAGTGTAGGTGCAGTACCTGGGAAATAAATCCAGCTCCTCTGGATGAGCACTATATACTTTTAATCACTCAGCCATCTCTTTGAGGCCTCAGAAACTATTTATAATAAACTTCCTGCAGCAACTGGTTATTGGGAAATTACTTTTTTGGGGGGGGTTTCTAGGGTGGCATAGGCAAATTACTTTTAAGAACTATCAGTTCAGAGGTTTCTATTTTTCTTAGCTTGTTTTTACTTTGTTTTGTTTTCTGAAACAAGGTTTCTCGTTGTAGCCCTGGCTCCCCTGGAATTCTACGTAGACGTAGACCGTATTTTCTTAGTTTATAATGACAGCTGTCTTCCTTTCCTTAATTAAGTGGCTCTCAAACATTACAAGCTCCTGGAGAGATTGTTAAAACATAGATCTGTAGCCAAGGATAGGGTTCAATGCTTGTCATCTCAGCTTTTGGGAGGTGGAAACAGGACAATCAGTAATTCAAGGTCAACCTTGGCAACATAGAAACTTCAAGACCAACCTGGGAATTCTGTTTGGTGTTTTGTCAAGTTGACCCAAACTAAGGTCATCTGGGAAGAGGAAACCTCAATCTAAAAAAGGCCTCCATCATATTGGCCTATAAGCAATTGTCTAGGGCACTTCCTTGAGTAATAATTGATGTGGGAGGCCCCGCCCACTTGGTGTAGTAGCCCCGCCCCTTGGAAGGTTGTTCTGGGTTATTTAAAAAGCAAGCTGAGAGGGCCGCGGAGAACAAGCCAGTAAGCACCAATCCATGGCTTCTGCTTCACACTCTACTCCAGATTCCTGCCTAGAGTTGCGGCTCCAACCTCCCTCGGTGACTGAGTGTGACCCGAGCGTTGTAAGCTGAAATAAACCCTGTGCTCCCTAAGTTGCTTTTGGTGGTGGTGTTTATCACAGGAAAAGGGAGCAAACAAGAACAGTGAGCTACATGAGACCCTGTCTCAACAAAACCAAACCCAGACATAAACTAACTTTTACCCCATTATGTTTGGCTTCCATGCCCAGAGGCTGCGATTCTGTGGGTTTAAGAATATATTTGTAACAAGCTCCCAGGTAATACTGATGTCACCTGTTTGGCCACATTTGGGTAATCTCAGTCTTAGCCCTGGCTCTTGTGGCCTTTACACTGTTGACACTGAGCCACATTTATCATAGAGCAGGCCTGCGTGCTACAGGATGCTAGCACATCCCTCTGCAATGACAAAAACCTTTCAGATGCCACCAGTGTCTTCTGGAGAGTTTCTAATTGAGGGCCACTGCTGTGAGACAAGCACTCAATAACAATCATCTTTAACCTCTACATTCCATCTTAGCAAAACCCTGTTTCCATATCCATGGTGCCATGTGTAGGCCACCAGACTCCTAGGGAACAGGGGATCGAACCAAATTAAAGCCATTTGATGATTTCCCACCATCCCTTTCTTGGGATTTTTGTCTCATCATGATTAAGGCATAAGAAGGGCTCTTCCTGCTACAACCAGGAAAGACAGGTTCCTGGCCTTCTCTGGAAAGGAACACAGAGACTGTCAACATTATCAGTCTTTGTCCAGAAGGGCTGGTTGCCTGTGGGGAATTACATTAATGATCCCACACAGAGAAAAGAAACAAGTCTTACTTTTCCACACCCATACCACTCTATCCCAGAGAAGAAGAGCAGATGGGTCTAGTATCTGCCTCCTCAGATGCTTGGAGGCCTTGGCAGGATCAGCTCTGGGACAGTCTGTGTTGATGGAGTGAGGGTCTCAGTGAGCTAGCCAGGGTCATTGATCTTATAGCTCACCCAGACTGCAGGAGCATGTAGGCAGTGCCTCTTCTTCAGGGGTTCTTTGTGCCTCTCCGGTGACACAGTTGTGCCCTTGCCACCATACTCTATAAACATCACAACCAAAACACTGCAGGGTGAGAATTTTAGGAACTGGGAAACTGTAGACAGATAATATTTTTGGCCAAGGGCTGATGCTTCCCCGTCAACAGCATCATGCTGACAGCTGCTGTCTCCAGTCATGCACTCGAGGCCCAAAAGCAAAGACCAGAGCTAAAGATTTGAGGACCATGGGAGACAGCAAGCCAGGGAGTTTGCGGAACTGCCCCACAATCGGTCCCTGCTCTTGCACATTTGACTGCCTAAGCTCCCGGCTACTGCCATGTATCTCTAAATCTAGAGCAGCTTGGTGAGGCGTCACTGTCCTATCTAAGATAACTAGAGAATAAACTGTTCTTTCCAAGTTGTCATGGATCAAGCAGAAGCACCTTGCATTCTGAGCCAACCAGATCTTCAGGCCCAGTTTTATGGATGGCCGGAGGGTAAGTGATATCTTGCTCACTGACCTGTGGGGGGAGATTACCACTCATTATACTCTCAGGGCTGTGAGAAGGAGATTCTTGCAAGTGTAGTGAGCTAAAATTTTCCAGCTCACTAACAGTGTGGGTGTATTTTTATGGTGTTTTACTGGATTAATTGACTCTTGGACAGGACAGGATACAATCTGACAAAGCCAGCAAGTTCAGCCAAGCAGATATAAGCTTTTGAGCATTTTGTGGCCGGAGTAGAAGTTAGTGATGAGTAGAACTGGGGGGGGGGGCACGACACACACCTCACTGGGGCCATAGCAGCCAGCAGTTGGAACCCCACCCCTGCTGGAGGTCACAGGAGTGCAGGAACACCAGCTAGAGAATCTGCCTTCTCACACCATCAACCTGGTGTACAAGGAGAGACAACCTGACTTCTGTTCCACCTGGTGGCGGGAAGGTCTTCCCCAAAGAGGAGGTCCTCACTGACCTTCAGGACGCCATTCAGGGCCCTGAGGAGAATCCCTATGCCAGAGGTCTGTTCGGCCACTCCTGGGCAAGGACTTCCCTGCCTCCCCACCCAAGGCCTACTCTCTAAGACCTTCTACTCAAATGTGGACGCCAATGGTGAGATCTGTGCCAATGTGTTCAAGGGGAACTGGACGGCTGGGGTGGGCATCTGACATGTGCTGCTGACCTAGTGCCTACTGATGCTCCCTAACCCAGAGTCTGCACTCAAGGAAGAGGACGCTGTTTTTGGCAAACACGAAGAGTAGGCTGGCTGTGGTCCATCTGGTATGCAAGCAGCACCAGCAGCTGGAGGGCTGAGGCTACTGGGATCTCAGCATGGTATTATAGCCTCCTCCAGTGACCCCAGGGCTTTAGGAGGAGCCAAAGATCCCAGGGTGAAGCAGCAGCCAGAGGCCAGCAGGGAGGAGACTGTTGTGAGCGCTTGTCCTTCCTCCCTTCTGTTCTGTCCCCTCCCACGGTGTCTAAGTTATTTAATTTACAGCTGTGGTGGGAGAAGAGGAGCACCCGGACCTGGATTTGTTTTTCTAAATAAAGCTGGAAAAGAAAATAAGCAAAAAGGACTGAGCTAGCTTGTAAGACAGAGAGGAGACTAGAAGATGAGCTTCAGCATGGAGGGAGCCAAGAGCAGGTCTCTGATTGACTGGTCTCCCTGCAGACTGACTTTCTCTGCTCTTGCTCACGTGGTACTTAGGATCCTGCCCGCCCCTCCTGCAGACACCACCCAGCATCCCCTCTGTCTGATACAAGACTTTAGGCAGAAAGAGTCTGAATGAAAGGCTCATCCTGGTTCAGGTGTGCAGCGTGGGTCAGCCAGCTCTGAGACAAGCAAGGCTTGTCTATCCTGAAGAGAAGGGAACAAGAGACACGGCACTGCCAAGGCTGGTTCCCCCAAAGGCAGATTTGAGCCAGGAATTTGTTTGTCTGGGAAGAAACATGTGATGGTCAATGGTGACTGTCAACTTGATGGGATTTAGAACCACCACGGAAACAAATCTCAAAGCACATCTGGGGAGACTGTAAATCAGGGTAATTGAGGTGAGCAGGCCCACTCTAAATGTGGGTAGTGCTGTTCTGTGGGTAGGAATCCAGACTGAATAAAATGGGGAAGATGAACACACACATGTATTCCCACTTCCTGCCTGAATGCACAGTGACTGTCTGCTACCTGCCACGATGGACTGCACCCTTCAACTATGAGCCTAAATAAACCCTATCTTGTGTAAGTTGCTTTGTCGGGTATTTTATCACAGCAACAAGACAAATCACTAAAGCAATGCATAATCCAGCCTTACCATCTTCATTCCCCTTGATTGCCAACTGGCACTCTTTATATGCCAAGTCTCACACAAAAGACAAGGAAGCCTGATGCATTAGCCCTTGTTGGCCAGCCTCCCTGTAGCAAACGAATCCAAAGGCAAATGGAAGGCATCTCTTGAATCCTGAGTAGGCGGGAGCACCAGCAGCTGCAAAGCGCAAGGAAACGGGCGAACTCTCAGAACCTGCAGAGGGAGGCTGCTGCTTTTTGTTGACACACTGGCTTCAGCCCAGCGAAACTGATGCTGAACTTCTGACCTCCAAGTATATTCAAGTAACAGGCAAGCAGTTCCTGGCCCCGAATACTCTGGTGAAAGTGTCTGACTGGCAGCATGAACGCTACTGGGGTGAGGGAAACTTCACAACTATATTTCCAGAGTGGTCTAAGAAAGAGATACTGATACATTTTACCTTTCTTTTGCATCTGTGTTTTGGCTGACTTTCTCTTTGGGTTTGGAGTATGAAATGAGAATGTCTCTGTCAGAGTCAGAAATTCATATTCTTGCACCCCAGGTGTAAGGCCAGGGATAACATCAAAGAGCTGAAGAAAACTAGCGAGTGTTCAGAAGCACCAGTGAGCTCGCCCAGCACCTCTGTAGTCGGGCATGCGAACATGCACAATAAATAAGGAAGTATGAAAAGCTGTGCTGTGCTTGTCCGTTCCTGGTTCACACGAGGGAAGGATGCCCACACCCATACAGATAAACACTTGTTCAAGAAAGGAACTATCTATTCAGCTCAAGCTAGATCTTTATTGGTTTTTTTTCAAGTCTAAATCTAACTCATGATGAAGCTTCCTAGCAGAATTTGTAATTCTTTTCCTGTACCTTGGTAGCCTTTAGTGGAATGACGATATTCAACAGCAATCGTGAGAACCTTCAAGAATATATTATATAAAACATTACACACAGCCAGGCGTTGGTGGCACATGCCTTTAATCTCAGCATTGGGGAGGCAGAGCCAGTCGGATCTCTGTGAGTTCAAGACCAGCCTGGTCTACCTAGGGAGTTCCAGGACAGGCTCCAAAACAATACATAGAAACCCTGTCTTGAAAACCCAAAAAAACGACAAAAAAAACCCATTACACACTATATGATTTATAATAGCAACAATAGGGCCTAGCAAGATGGCTCAGAGTTAGGAGCACCAGCTGCTCTTCCAAAGGACCTGGGTTCTATCCCTAGTACCCCCATGCTGGATCACAGTCGTCTATAAGTCTAGTCCAAGGGATCCATTGGCCTCTTCTGGCGTCCATGGACACTTCAGGCATATGGAACACTGGCATACATTCAGGCAAATACCCATAGAGATAAAAGTTATAGTAACCAAATAATAACATTGCCAATCATTTAACTTTGCTTTCTAGATGATGTCGATGGACACATGAACTTTATGCTATCAGAAGTAATTTCCTAAACAATTTAGGAGAAATAAATCTTTTTAAAAGTATTCCATAAGAAAGCTATTATTAGGAATCTTGTAATAAGTTGAGCATGGTGGTACACACTTTTAGTCCCAGTACTCCAGTACTCAGGAGGCAGAGACAGGATCTCTGTAAGTTCCAGGACAGCCTCGTCTATATAGTGAGTTCCAGGACAGACACAGCAATGCCGAGAACCTGTCTCAAAATAAAACAAAGCAAAACTTATAATAAATATATTTTAAGTGAAAGGGAATCTTATTTACGTTCTTAACACCAATTTGAAAAATTAATTCATTCCATTAAAATATTTTATTAATTATTTGAGAATCTTATACAATTTTGAAATATCTAGAAAAAAACAAGCAAAAAACACTCTTTAAAAAAATCAAGCCTGGCGGATCTCTGTGAGTTCGAGGCCAGGCTGGACCGACAGCCTCCCAAACAGAGAAACCCTGTCTCATAAAACCAAAAAAAAAAAAAAAAAAAAAAAAATCAAGCCGGGCGTTGGTGGCGCGCGCCTTTTAATCCCAGCACTCGGGAGGCAGAGGCAGGCGGATCTCTGTGAGTTCGAGACCAGCCTGGACTACCAAGTGAGTTCCAGGACAGCCTCCAAAGCCACAGATAAACCCTGTCTCGAAAAACCAAAAAAAAAAAAAAAACCAATAAATAAATAAATAATCAAGAAAACAAGCATCCCAATTTAAAAACGAGACAGGGAACAGAGAATTCTTAAAAGATGAAATACGAATGACTGAGAAACCTGTTTTAATATGCTCAACACCTTTAGCAAGTAGGGAAATGCAAATTAAAACTACAGTGAGATTTCCCCATTCAGACTCACTAAGATTAAAACAACAACAGAAACAACAGAGGATGATAGATGTTGGCAAGGATACTGGGAGAGAGGAATACTTATTCACTGTTGATAGGAGTACAAACTGGTACAGCCACTGTGGAAATTGATGTGGAGTTTCCTCAGAAAGCGTAAATGGATCTGCTACATGATCCAGCCAAGCCCCTCTTGGGCATATACCCAAAGAACTCTATATCCTACACAGAGAAACTTGTTCATTCGTGTTTATAGCTGCTCTATTCACAATAGCCGGGAAATGAAAACAACCTGGATATCCATCAACTGATGAACCGATACTGAAAATGTGGAACACTTATACAATATTATTCAGCTGTTGAGAAAAAAAAGCGGTTATGAAATTTGTAGGTAAACAGATGGAGCTGGAAACAATCCTGAGTGAGGTAACCCATACCCAGAAGGACAACGCTACATGTTTTCTCTCATTTGTGTTTTCTGGCTTTGAATCTTTAGATATGTGTGCTCCATTTGGAATAACACCTCCCCTGAGCTCCAAGATGGAGGGATCTTTAAAAAGGATTAGAAGAAAGTATACATCCAAGGCCATCAAGATGGTTTAGCAAGTAAGGGTGCCTATTGCCTGATGGCCTGAGTTTGATCCCCAGGCCCCCACATGGAGGAAGAAAAACCTGCTGTGGTGTGTGTAGTTACATAACATACATATGTGCATACAAAATAAAATGTTATAAAAACATGAAACTCTCTAGTGTTACAGAAAAAAATTCCTAAGGCAATTCATAAAAGCAGGAGCCAGCTTGTTGAGACAGCCAAAGAGGCCAAAGGAAAAGCAAAGGAGACAGTGCTGGCAGCTACAGAGAAGGCCAAGGACCTGGCCAACAAGGCCACCACCAAGCAGCAGCAGCAGCAGCTTGTGTAATCCTCCTCTCCCTTCTGATTGTACCTGGTTATTAAAAGTCCACCTCCAGCCCTCTCTGCTGTCTGGTGGGTCAGGGTCCGCATCTGCAGTACACCTGCTCAGTGGCTACTGAGCCCAGCCTCTTTTTATCCTGTTGGGCAGAAAGGTGCAGTGACTTGCCCAAGGTCACAAGCAGTACGCAGGTGAAGTGGTAATACAAGACAGACTGTACGTTCCTCGGGGGCAGGGCTCCTTGTTTTATTCTCTGATGTGTCCCGAGTAACCTGAACAATATTTAGCACATAACAGACACTCAATAAACACTTGATTTGATTGGTCTCCCCCCCCAAAAAAATAGCAGGAGCCGGAGCTGGAGCCCCAGTACTCCAACAATGAGCAGCGTTGACAGTCTGTGCTGTCCTTAAGAAACGAGCTCTACATAGTCCTAGAAGAAAGTTACCATCTCCTCATTCCAAAGCCAAACCAAGTTCAAATCTCCCAGTTACTGAAAGAAGAAGCCCAAGGAGGCCAGCTGCTTCTCCTACCTGTCTGTAAAGATGCAGTCCAGTTCCTTCAGTACACACAGGAAGCATGTCCCCAACTTCCAGTCAGCTTTCCAGGAATCTTCAAAGCACCATCAAGCTTCTCTCCGGAAAAGATACAGGAACTCCTTAAACATTGGATGTTTTGAAAGAATAAACACCTTGTAACCTACATGTCTAACCTATAGATAAATAGGTAGCAGCAGGCATCCAACTACGCAAAGGTAGTGTCAAGTGGACCAAGAATGTGACCTCATCTGTCTAGCAAGAAGTTGGTATGTGTGGGGGTCAAGTCAGTTCCTACTTATATGGGGTCCTCACCTTATCTTGCCTTGAGGATTCAAAGGTGACCAACTGCACAAAGCTGCCATCTTTGCCTTGGCAGCTTTTGGTTTTGTTAATGTCTTTTGAGACAGTCTCAAACTGTAGTCCAAGCTGGCCTTGAATTTACTATATAGGAGTTCAGGCTAGCTTTGAACTTGTGGCAATTCTCCTGCCCTAGCTCCCAAATTGTGAGATTACAGGCAGGAGCCATCAAGACAGGCTGTGCCTCCCTCTCATGGTGCCTCTTGTCACTTTACTTCGACCCCACAAAGAGAATCTAGGTTCATCTGTGCCTCTGTCACTCACTTATCACCCCTACAAAGTCTCTTTTGTCACACAGAGGACCTAAGTCCCTGAGATGTCTCTATGGGGTGTTTGTGGGGGTATATTTCTGCCTACCATATTGCTATTAGGGTCATTCTGCTGACAACATGGACACTCCAAACTATGAAGGCAGACCTCTCTCGGTCTACTCATTCACAGGTGAAGTGAAGGAACACCTTCCATTATCTGAGGGAGACTGGGTCCTCTGATCACAGACATTTGCAGGAGGCACAGTGCAGGAGAGGAGTGAAGGAACACCTTACATTGCCTGAGAGACAGGATCCTGTGACTGTAGACATTTGCAGGAGGCACAGTGTGGAGGAAGAGCATTTGAATAGTTTACCAGCAGGACTTGGTCTTTTGAAGTTAAGAACTTAGATAAACACAGAGCAGAAGAAAGAGAAGGACAGTATAAGGCTGAGAAATGTCTTTGGGCTGGTGCAAAACTGAGAAAAATAATCCGTTTGAACAGAAACTTTGGTTCTGGGAGGGGAAAGCATGTGTTAGGGCAACATCAGATCCAGGGTGGCTATTGTTAGCAGATTCTTCATGCACTCCCTCCTTCATTGATAGTTGGTTTTCTCCTAAGCCTCACTGCTGTTAGCTTGAGCAAGCCTCCTCTCTCATTCAAGTCTTAACTCCATTTTCCTTGAATTAAGCAAATTCTTGGATCCAATGAGAACACATGGTTATTGAGGTGTATTAGCAACAATCCTTACTTTTCTGGGCTGGTTCTATATTAACAAAGGATTGCTTTATACTCTCGTGGGGTACAGAGAAAAAAAGGATCTGTTTTAAACTTATTCAAACACTTACAGCGCTTGAGAAAAATATAAATGTATTTTATACCCAATGATGCTCCTCACCTTGCAGTTCCCCACAGCAGGCACAGTAACACCTGCCTCCTTCCTTATCTTAGAAGTAACTGGCACTTCTCCCATCCATGGGTGTCAAGGGATTCTGCCTCCCTGAAGTGAGTGGGCTATGACCATAGTGGAAGAGACATGATCTGACTTCTAAGGCCACAAAATAAAGAATCATTCCTTTCTTCAGGTTCTCTGGAGAAAGTCATTCCCTATCCCAGCATCTCATGTCTTGTGAAGAAGTCCAAGGATGCTGCACCCTGCTGTCCTGGCCAGCAGAGTTCTTAGCCAACAGCCGGAAAGCCCTACTATCAGGGCAGAGGATTCTTAGGTGATGTTTGTTAGTGGATGCTGTTTGAGGCTTCTCAGATGAGACCCAGGCACCATGCAGTAGGGGTAAACTGCCCTTCTGTGCTCTTTGCAATCTCCTGACCAGTGGGCTGCATAATCACAATAAAATAGTGGTTGTTTTAGGAGTTGTTTTGGTGTGGCAACAGTAGCTAGTGTTCTGGCATATGGAAGTACTAAAAGATAGAAGGCTTTTTAATTTCATTTATTTATTATTTTGGACAGAGTCTTAGTAGGTAACCCAGGTTAGCCCTAAACTTTCGATCAGTCCTGTTTCCAGCTCCTGAGTGCTGGGATTTCAGGCATCTGACATCATGTTTTGCTTCGGCAGACATTTTTTTTTTTTACTAAGAAACACAACAACCATAGCAAGATGCCGGAATCATACCAGTTTTCCTACCCAATTCCTTTTTTTTTTATTAATTACATTGACAATTTCATACATTTATATAATGCATTCTAATTATTCTCTGCAACTATTTTACCTCCCTCCCATCTCTACCACCCCTTCCCCTTTCCAAATCCTGTTCCTAAAGTTGTGTCATTCTGTGTTGTCTTATGACTTTCTGCATCTTACCAGGGATGTCTGTGTGACCATGGATAAGGAACTATCCACTGGAGCTTAGTAGGCTCCACAGTGTGTACAGAGCCAAGTGCAATGATTCCTCCTCTCCCAGAACCTACAGTGGCCTGTTGTTCAGCAGTAAGGGGCAAGGTGCCAGAACTCTAGCCCCACCTGTGGCTGACGGTTGCCAGGGTGACTCCTGTGCAGGCCCAGTGCAGATAATGTCAGCTGATGTTAGGTCATGTTTTCAATGGCTGTCATGCCCAGAAGACTGCATTTTGCTGACACTAACATTCTTCCACACCCTCTGTCTTGATGCTCGCTGAACCTTACAGGGAGCAGTATAACTATCTTGTTTAGAGCTGAGTCATCAACCATCACTCACCATGTTGGAAAGCCACAGTCTCTTCATTCACCTGTTTACTGCAAAGAGAAAACTCAATATGGTGGTTTCTTAAAAAAACAGGGAATCAATCTACCTTAAGACCCAGCTATACTTATTTTGGATGCTCAATCATACCACAGGGACATTTATTCAACTGTGTTCATAGCAGCATTATTCATAATAGCCAGAACCTGGAAACAACCTAGATGTCCCTCAACTGAAGAGTGGATAAAGAAAATGTGGTACACTCACACAATGGGACATTACTCAGCTATTTAAAGCAATGGTGTCAGGAAATTTGCAGACAAATGGATGGAACTAGAAAAAAAATCCTGAGTGAGATAACAGACCCAGAAAGACAAACATGATATGTACTCACTCATAATAAGATATTAGTTGTAAAGGATAACCATGCTACAATCCACAGTCCCAGAGAGGCTAGGTAACAAGGAGGACCCAAACAGGGACACATGGATTTTCCTGGGAAGGGGAAATAAAAGAGATCTCCTGGTAAACTAAGGGCAGGTGGAGACAGGAACATGAGGGGTTGGGTGGGGGGCAGGATAGAGGGGGAGAGCTACGAAAGAGATGTCTTGATGGGGTGGCATTTCAGGGTCAGGTAGAAACCTGGTGCAAGGGAAACACCTTCGAATCTACAAGGATGTCCCCAGCCAAGACTCCTAGTGATAGTGGATAGGTAGTCTGAACTGGTCTTCTCCTGTAATCAGATTGGTGATTACCCTAATTATCATCAGAGAGCCTTCATTCAGTACCTGATGGAAGCAGATGCAGAGATCTACAGCCAAGCACTGGGCTGAGCTCAGGAATCCTGTTGAAGAGAGGGAGGAAGGATTGTACAAGCCAGGGGTATCAAGGTCATCACAAGGGAACCCACAGAGACAACTAACCTGGGCTCACAGGAGCTCACAGACACTGGATTGACAGCTAAGGAGCCCAAAATGGACTGACTTACACCCTCTACATATGGGAGACACTTGTATGACTTCTTGAGGGACTCCTAGCAGTGGGAGCAGACTTGTCCCTGATGCTTTGGCAGCTTTTTGGGAACCTATTCCTCATACTGAGTTGTCTTAGCAAGTCTTAATATAAGGGAAGGAGCTTAGTCCTACCTCAACCTGATATGTCACGCTTTGTTGACACCTATGAGAGACCTGCCCCTTTCTGAACAGAAATAGGAGGAGTGGATTCTGGGGGAGTTGTAAGGAGAGGTGGGAGGAGGGATAGAAGGATAGGAAGGAGGGGAAACCACAGCCAGGATATAAAACAAATGAGTAAATTAAATTTTAAAAAAGGCTGAGAGTAGCATTTATCCAGCTTACTTCTTTAATTTTATTTTGTTTATTAAGTTTGTGGGCATGTATATGCCATGGTATGCATGGGGAAGTCAGAAGACAATTTGCTGGAGTCAGTTTTTTCCTTCTACCATGCAAGTAGGTCCTCAGGCTTAGTGGCAAGCACCTTTATCCACAGAGCCAACTCACTGCTCCTCAACCAATTTTCTTTGGAGACCAGAAGACAGCATCAGATCCCCAGAAACTGGAATTACAGATGGTTATAAGCTGCTATGTGGGTGCTGGTAACTGAACCTAGGTCCTCTGCAAGAGCAGAAAGTGCTCTCAATGGCTGGGTTACCTCTCCAGTCTCTCAAGTATCTCAACCCTGGCAATCCAATGAAGAGCAGGCTTTTTCTTTTTTCTCCAATGATATTTGTCTTTTCCAAACAACTATAATGTTTATGACCCTCCTAGAACAGTAGTTCTCAACCTGTGGTTTATGACCCCTTTGAGGTGTCAAACAACCCTTTCACAGGGTTGGCCTAAGACCATCTGGAAAACACAAATATTTATATTATGATTCATAACAGTAGCAAAATTACAGTTATGAAGTAGCAATGAAATAATTTTATGGCAGGGGGTCACCATAGCACAAGGAACTGTATTAAAGATTTCAATGTTAAGAAGGTTGAAAATCACTTTCACAGAATGTTTACCTTAAAATGTGTTTTTGTAAAATGAGGCAATAAAGCAAGAAGGAAGAGGGGACAGAACCAGATGACAAAGCTTAAGAGAGAGTTTATAGATTGTATCCTGGCAGATATGGGTTTGGAGACTAGTACTCAGCATGTTCTAGAGTTTGATCTCAAGGACTATATGAACACATAGTAGATCAAAACAGCTTATTTTCTCTTTCCCTGTGTTTCCCCATCCAGAAGAGCAGAGATGCCATCAAGATGGAACCCTTTTCCAAGGAAATTTTCTGATCTATTTTGCTGCATAGGTCACCTCCCTCTCTTCCTTCCTTCCTTGTTTTTTGTCTGTTTTTGTTTTTTGTTGTTGTTTGGTTGGTTGGTTTTTTCTTTTTTTATTATTTATTTTTAAATTTAAATTTAATTTAGAAACAAGGTTGTTTCACAAGTCAGTTCCAGGTCCCTCTCCGTTTCCCTCCCTAGTTGGTTGGTTTTTTAAGTAGGGTCTCACTTTGTAGCCCATCCTGGGCTTGAATTCACCATAATCTTAATTTCTCAGTTTCCCAAATGTTAAGTTTATGAGCCAGCAAGTCTCCCTCCCTCCCTCCCTCCCTCCCTCCCTCCCTCCCTCCCTCCCTCCCTCCCTCCCTCCCTCCCATTTTCCTTCCTTTTCTGACAGGACACTGCTGTGGAGGCCAGACTGGCTTGGTCCTCACAATCCTTTCTTGTTTTCTCCTCAGTATCTGTGCCACTTGGCCTGCCCTGGCATGAACGAATTCTTCTTCAGTCATTTGCCCACACTTCAAAAATATCTGTCATCTTAGACCTTAGAAATAGTGATTTCCTGATGAGGATTTTGTGAGATCAGTACTATGGGGGAAAACATTCTTCATTCTGACAAATATTTGTGTTGACCCCATTAAAAGGAAGGATAAGGACATGATGGATGAGATGAATATTGGGATGGGACAGATGATTCAGTTAATTGGTCTTCAAAAGAAGGGTAGTACCAGCCGGGCGTTAGTGGCGCACGCCTTTAATGCCAGCACTGGGGAGGTAGAGGCAGGCAGATCTCTGTGAGTTCAAGGCCAGGCTGGACCGACAGCCTCCAAAACAATACAGAGAAACCCTGTCTCAAAAAAACCAAAAAAAAAAAAAAAAAAAAAGAAGTATAGTACTCAAAAGCTTGTTCATTCTTTTGTGTTTTTCGAGAGTCCTTTCTTTGTTTTGTTTTTTTTTTTTTGGGACAGAGTTTATCTGTATGTCCTTGACTGTCCTGGAGCTCTGTAGGCCAGGCTGGCCTCAAACTAGGAGATCTATCTGCCTCTGGGCTACCTGCCTCCCCTGTGCCCTGCCCTGAGTACTGAGATTAAAGGTATGTGCCACCACCACCCAGCAAGAAAGTCCTTTTTTTGTATTATTTAAACTTTTATTTATCTTATGGAAGTTAGAGGACAATTCTGGAGAGTGTTTCCTTCCTTTAACTGTAGGTTCTTAGGATCAAACTCACGTCATCAGGTTTTTGAAGCAAGGACTTTTATTCACCGAGCCAGAGACATCTTGCAGTGTGTGTCTGTATGTGTGTGTGTATGTACACGCATGTGCTCATATAGACCAGCCTCATTGATCCTTCTGCTTCCAACTCCTAGTCATGTACTACCATGCCCAGCTATTATAATTATTACTATTACTACTATTTTTGTTTTACTTTGCTTTTTGTTTGTTTGGTTGGTTTTGAGACAGGGTTTCTCTGTGGCTTTGGAGGCTGTCTCGGAACTAGCTCTTGTAGACCAGGCTGGTCTCGAACTCACAGAGATCTGCCTGCCTCTACCTCCCCAGTGCTGGCATTAAAGGCATGCGCCACCAACACCCGGCCCTTGATTTGCTTTTTAACGCAGGTTTGTACTCTGTGCCCTAAGCTAGCTTTGAAACCATGGTGATTCTCTTGCATCAGACTCTCAGTGATTGACATTGCAGTGTGACACAACTCCTAGACGGGAGTTCTTTTAGAGTGGGATATAGAGAACCATTTATTAAAATAAAGCCTCTTGAAGAGTTTTGTAATTATGTATTTGTGTTAACTTGTAAACGTTACTGATTATTATTAGTGTATTGTGTTATGGAATGGGACACTTGTGGGTGCCCGAGACAATATCTGGGAGTCAGTTCTCTCTTTCCACCATGGGCTTTAGGTTTAAACTCAGGTTGTCAGATTTTTGAGGCAAGAACTTTTACCCACTGAGCCATCTTGCCAGCCCTAGCGTGTTTTGTTTTGTTTTAACAGTAGCTGTTTGTTTAGAATGTTCCTGGTTTTGATTTGGGGTTTTTTGTTGTTTGTTTGCTTGCTTTGTTTGGGAGATGGGACTCATTCAACACACCAGGCCTCAACTTCATATGAAGCTGATGACACTCTTGAACTTCCCATTCCCCTGCTTCAACATACCACACGCTAGGGTTAAGGACAAGAGTCACCACACCGGTTCCTGTGATCTGGAGGTTAAACACAGGACTTCATTCCTTTTGGCAGGAACTGTATCACTGAAACCCATGCCAGGCCCCAAACAAAAACTGGGTGGCCAAACTCTCAGAGCATTTGGTCCCTGTTCTAGGATCTCTGCCGTTGGTCACTAGTCGGAAGCAGCGACTCAAATCTTTTGGATTTCATTCAGATCTGAAGAGAATTAGGACACATTGGGGGACGCTATCCTTGGAACAACTGTGACTAAGATCCACGTCCCTTTAGACCTGGTATGCACAACAGTCTCCAGCACAGTAGTTGGTATTCAAACGTTGTCACAGCTTATACAGTGAGCTTAAGCACAGTAATCATACCAGAAATGGGCAAAGGGTAGATGCAACTAACTTTTTACGAATATCTGGATCAAAGTGAGAGGTTTTCATTAGTGACCAAGATACAGCCCACCATTCCATCTCACCGTAGCTCTAACTTTGCAGATCATCATCTTTGGTGACTGTGAATTTATCATTAAAGTCAAGTGAGAGATCTCAATTATACAATATATATTCGACTTACCCATATTTACTGTCGACATTAGTTGTCATGTCCATAGCACTTGCTTAAGCATCATCCTCCCACCTAGAATGAAGTCAAGTTTTGAATTTGGACTTAGCTATGTAAATTGTTTTGTCTAATGTTCACAAATAGGATGCAAAGCAAGGTTTGAAACACGCCTATGTATTGGACTCATCTGTTACTGAAAGTTCTTCTGCCATCATGGAAACAAGCCCATATTCTATTATTCCTTATCCTTCATGGGTCTTCCCTGTCCACCCTGTGCTAGAATCAGACTATTATCCTTATTGATGCATATTACGAATATGCAGGAGATTTTCTGACATTTCTTCCTTTCCCCCTCTTTTTTGTTGTTTTGTTTTATTTTGTTTTGTTTTTGAGACATAGTCTTACTCTGTAACCCAGGCTAGCCTCAAAAGTGCTGGGATGACAGGTGTGAGCCAACACACCTGGGTTTGTTCCAGGTATCTGAAATTTGTTCTTCCAGATCCAATCTCTGTTTTTTCCCATTCTATCCCAGGTCCTAGATATGGATCTCTGTGATGGGCTTCAATGGGTCCCATTCTCTGGCTTCCCTTTTGGATTCAGTCAAGAATGGTTCTGGCAGAGGAGAGTAAGACTATAGAATTGGTCTTCTGAAGTTCTCCCAACAGAGTTCTATAGTCTGGCTGTGTTCTGTTGGGAGCAGAACAACATAGAGGTTGCCACTTTCTCTACCCATAATTGTGGCTACCCATCATGTTTCCAGACTTAGGGGTATAAATATCTCCCTGCACTACAACATCAATAATGAGTGCCCTTCACCATCACACACTGTTGTAAAAGGTCTATGAGATTCTCAACTACCTCATTTACATGTGACATTAGTTTTCTGTTGGGAAAGAATCAGCAAACTGACCGACACATTATTTAAAGGAAGCTCTGTCATCTCTAAAAGACATGCAGCTTTGTACCAACCATTGGTTTAGATCATCTAGGACTCAACAACCTTTGCCATCAGAATGCACTGTGAACCTTTGATAAGGGATCATCTATAGGCTATTCAATTTTGAATGGACCATGTAATCCAAATTTCCTCAAAAAATTGAAGCTACCATCTCTCAAGAGGCCAAGCCTCAGAATTAAAGAACACTTGGCTCTTTCCTCTTCCAAGTACATCTTGTTACCAAGGTTGTCAAACTCCAGGAGCCTTTCCCTGCTGAATTATTACAAGGTGAACTTAGATAACCCATCATTTTCTGACCTTTCTCCCAGATCTGCCTCTAGGTCCCTGCCTCCTGGCATAAATTCTGCAGTGGCTTGTCCAAGGGTGACTAACTAACTGGCCTCTGCCCCCTTTGCTTTTTTCTGTGGCATATAGATAACATAATATTTTTCACCTTCAGATTTGTTTCTCCTTTAGATCCCTAGCATTATCACACACTTCCTGTGGCATCTAAGGTGTTCAGAGGCTCTTGAAGAAAGAAAAGAGAAATGAAAATTATTATTATCATTATTATTATTATTATTTTGGTTTTACGAGACAGGGTTTCTCTGTATTGTTTTGGAGGCTGTCGGTCCAGCCTGGCCTCGAACTCACAGAGATCTGCCTGCCTCTGCCTCCCGAGTGCTGGGATTAAAGGCGTGCACCACCACCGCCCGGTGAAAGGAAAATTATTTTAACATCTATGCATTGGGACTTTCTTGGGAACTATTTCAGTTACTATTGTTGCATTAAAAGATACCATCAAAGTATAATAGCTTAAGATAGATACATTTCTACTGGGATGTATTGTGCTTCAAGGTTTTAGACAGGAAGGTGTGGGAACAGTTTATCTCTGCTGCATGATGTCTGAAACTTAGCTAGGAAGACTTGAAGCTTGAAGAGACTTGACAGACAGTGGCTGGCATCATCTGTAGTTTGTTTGCCTTGGTGGTAATACAGAGGAATCAAGCTGGAAATGACATGAAAACTTCCTCCCTGATTATTAGGTTTCATAGTATCAAGAGGTTCTACGCAAGCCATTTAGAGTAGAAAAGACATCAGTGGTATATCTGTAGCCAACCCTGCATGCCAAAATACTGACCTACCAGGTAAGATGTGCTCACAGGTGCAATAGTGGCATAAAGGTTACAGATGTAACCAAATAATTTTGGATTGGATTTGAGGTCTGCTCCACAGGAGGAAAGTCAGAGCTGGTCCTATAACCTGGTCAAAAGCCCATGAGTCAAGAGGTCATAGGCCCTAAGAAGGAACCTACCATTGATATTTTAAGTGACATGTTATCAAACTTCTTTCTAAATATGCGTGCTTATACCCATAGATTAGTGCTGCCCTCAACCATTGCCCAAGAAGTTTCTCTCTGCAGTTGCCAACAACTAATGCAGACTCATAACTGGTCAAAGTGCTGAGAAATAAATATTTATTGAATGCTTAACACCAAGTGGTATTATGTCTATATCAACACCTTCATACAAGGCTCAGGGAACATCTCAGAAGAGAAATAGAAAGAACATAATACTGGATGAGAAGTATTGTGAAATGACATTTTGGGGACATGACATGACCAATGCCTACATGAACTCACTGATATTTTGACTTCCTTCTCAAGGTCAAGTCAATAAGACCAGTCAACTTTTCAGTAGGTGGCACTAACTGGACTCAGTGGGTCACAGTGGATTACTAACAACAAAAAGGAAAAGATGTGAATGGAGATGCGGACTTATTCTAGATGCCCCAGGCAGTGGGATGGAAGAGTTTGGGTTCCTAGGAAGAGTGGAGGGGGATTTAAGGTCCATATGATCAAGATGTATTGTTTCCATGTAGAAAATTATCAAAGAATAAGTTAAAAGTTATTCTACTAAAAGGAGGAAGGAGCTGGGCAATGGTGGTGTATGCCTTTAATCCCAGTGCTCAGAGGCAGGAGGATCTCTGTGAGTTAGAGGCCAGCCTTAGCTACAGACTGAGTTCCTGGACAGCCATGGCTACACAGGAAAAAAACTGCTTTGGAAAAAAAAGAGAAAGAGAGAAAAAATGGGAGTGGTTTCCTGGAGGGATAAGTCAGTGGCTAAGAGCATTTATTGCCCAAGTTCAGTTTCCAGAACCCACACAATGGCTCACAACCATTTGGACTTCAGCTCCAGGAGATTCTACATCCTCTTCTGACCTCCACAGGCACTAGGCATGCACATGGAGCTCATATACACATGCAGGCAAACCACTCATACACATAAAATAAAATAATCTGAAAAAATGGGTATGGTGGTATATACCTCTAATCCCAGCACACAGGAGATGGAGTTAGAATGACCAGAAGCTCAAGGTCATTCTCAGTTACATAGTGAGTTCAAGGTCAGCCTGAGATACACAAGTCACTACTTCTGCCTATAAGAAAAATAAATGATATACTTTCATTTTAAAGATGAGTAAACAAGAAAAAAAGCAGATAAATGAGTTTTCCCCCAAGAAAGCATAACAAATGTAGGTACAGATTGTGATAACTGGAACCCATTTACTATATCAGGGTTAGAGATGTTATGTGTGGATCTGTGTTGAGCTCAGTCAGTAACAACATATGACAGAAGAAGTCATTGGGTCCCCTGGAACTGAAGTTACAGATGGTTGTGATCTACCATGTGGGTGCCAGGGATCAATCGTGGGAGCCTTGAAGAGCAATCAGTGCTCTTAACTTCTGAGCTGTCCCTCCAGTCCCAAAAGTATATAATCTCAAAAGCAAGTTTATGCCTTAACTCTACTGTAAACAAACCTAGATTTCCAATTTTCCACTAGTTTCTTCAGGATGGCAATTTATATTATCCAAAAATCACAAAATATGCTCTTCTGGAACTTGCGACTACTCTCCAGTCACTATTGCTCCTGTTGCCACTGCTGTTCTGTGTTGACACTTTCTCATCACTATTTCTGTTACCAACACTGTCCTCTTTACTGCAGTTGTATCTCTGCCGGTACTCTGGTCTCCTCGGGTCATGTTACCAGTTCAACCGGCTGTACCAAGAATGAAGATGATAAAAAATGGTGGCCAAAATCATCACTGGTGAGAGAAGTCTTTCATTAGCTGTAATGTTGCAACTGGGGCTGGGGCAGGCAACACAAGAACTGTCTATCTCCTTGACAGCTCAAAAAGGAAGTTGCATAGCCTGCTTATGCAGTCATAAAAGGGATGTGGCAAGGGTATTTACACCAAAGTAGCACTTCATACAAATGAAAGACTACGCTTACACTAATCATACCATAGCCCCTCATGCAAATGAACACTTACATCAATCACAGCTCAGTCTTTACAAATGAAAGACTCTGTTATAAAAAGTTCTCCTCTTCTGGCCTGTGTGAAAATGGCCACTGGGTCATCTAGAGCTCTCTGGAGCTTATGTTTGAAAGTCTTGGCTGGAATAGTGCCTTTTAGAGCTGGAGATGCCCCTCAGCAGCAAGCAGCTTTAGTTGCTATCTAGCTTCCTCAAGGTGTCTCTGGGGTATTTCAAGCAGCTAGTGCTGACACAAAGGCCATCCAGCTGTGTGTTTGGGTTGGTAGTCTTTTGTTTAAGGCAGCCAGGGCACCAGGAAAGAATAGCTATCAGCTAGGGAGTCAAACAAATTTGCCACCAATATCCTAGCCTATTTAAATAAAAAAGTGAAGGGAGATGTCATTTTGTAAATATGTCTCTCTTATTGGTTGATGAGTAAAACACTGTTGGCCAATAGAGAAGCAAGACAGGTGGGACTAGGAGAGAAGGAGGATTCTGAGAAATGTATTAGGGAGTTGTCATGTGCTTCCCGGAGGAAAGGGTGCATAAGTCTGGTGTTCTCAATATGGTAAGACCTTGTTAAAAAATTATATATATATATATTTATTTAGTAGCTATGGGTTAATACTGAAGACAGAGCTAGCCAATTAGAAGCCCTAGACATTGACTGGCAGCATTATAACTAATAGAGTCTCTGTGTGTTATTTGGGGGCTCTGAAGTGGCAATGGGACCCAGGCAGGATTCCTGCAACAAAAAAGAACATTAAAAGCAGTGTTTATAATAAAGGCTTATTGTTAGCATTAGCAATATTTAATAATGCTCTAATAGTGCTAAATTCCTAAGGTGGAACCTTGTGGTGGTTTGAAGAAAATAGCCCCCAAAGGAGGTGGCATTATTTGGAGGTGTGGTCTTGATGGAGTAGATGTGGTCTTATTAGAGGAAGTGTGTCACTGTGGAGGTGGGCTTTGAGTTCTCATATATGCTCAAGCCACCCCCAGTGTCTCAGTTCACTTCCTGTGACCTACAAGCCAAGATATAGGACACTCAGTTACTTCTCAAGCACCATGACTGCCTGTGTACCACCATGTCACACATGAGGATAATGAACTAAACATCTGAAACTGTAAGCCAGCTCAATTGAATGTTTTTCCTTTATAAGAGTTGCTGTGGTCATAGTGTCTCTTTACAGCAATAGAAACCCTTACTAAGACAGTCCCTCTAATCAGTTTCACTCACTTTGGGGAGTGAAGGAGCCCAAGAGAATATACCAAGAAGTCTACATGGAAGAAACCCAGTTCTGGAAACTATAAAGTCCAAAGTCATGGCATGGGAAGATATCGAGTCTAATGATGGTCTGTCCTCATGTTTACAGAGGACACCTACTATCAGTGTCTTCTGGTAACCCATACTAGCTCTCTGAGGCCTCTTTGATAAGGAAACTAATCCCACTGGTGAGAATGACATGACTGAGTTTCTTTGCCTCCCCAGGGCCTGGTTTAACAATGCTATCACACTGGTGGGGTTCCTGCACAGGAACTGGGGAAGCAGAGCCATATGGAAAAGCCTAATTTTAGGTTCAAATTATTTGAAACATCATTTCAGCTTAGATTCTCTCAGACTCAGACCCTGAAAGTTTGAGGTGTAGGTACTTCAAGAGGGTGTCGATCACTAGATGCTTGATCAGGGAGAGAAAAGCCCAGGGAAGTCAGTATGTCTGCCACTGTGAGACATTCTTGAGCAACAATTGAAAGGGGCATCTTAGAGGTTTCCATCCATAGCTTAGTGCTCCACCATGAGCAGTTAGTGAGGCACATCTGGGAGGAAGGAGCCTGTGGCACAGGAGGCTACTGAGAAAAACTGTTTAGGAGACATGGGGGCTCATTCCTATAACACCAGCATTGGGAGTTGGAACCTGAGGGTGGTGCTGAGTGGAAGGCCAGCTTAGGCCCATAGTGAGCCAGGGTTCTAGGAGAGGGTGGGCTATAGATTGGAACCCTTTCTGAAACAGCAAAAACAGAACCAAAACACAAAAAAGAAAACCAAGTGTGCTGTTTCAGGGTTCTTCAATATTATCTCTACCTGGGTCCAGATGTTTCATAGGTTCCATCACAGCCACTGTATTCATTGTCAGAAAAAGAACATCAACTATTGTCATCTCCACAGTGCCTACAGAGAAACTGGACTTGAATGACTACGTAGAAGAGGACTAGAGAGGGGTCAAAAGGAAGTTTACAGAACATTTTGAAAGAGATGGGTATAAGGACTTGGCAGACAAACAATGATAGATGGACAAACAATGATATATGGACAGAATTATAAGATGAGGTCTCCAGTAAAGAAAGAATTTATTTTGAGATTGAATCTCACGTAACTCAGATTGGCCCCAAACTCCCCCTCTAGCCAAGGATGACCTTGAACTTCCAATCCTCCAGCTGCCATGTTCTATGCAGTGTTAGGAATTGAACCAGGGCTTGGGTGTGCTGGGCAAGCAGCCCACCCACGAATCTACATCCTCTAATCCTGTAAAGCATTTCAGTTCCTACAGTCAGACATTGATTGAGAGCGTGCCAAGAGTTGCCTTACTTCCCCTTCCACTATGCTAGGCAGGTAGGTAACATGAGCCTGCAACTGAGGGAAGGATTAAAAAACCAATGACATAGTAATATATCTTAAACCTTACTAGCGAGTTACCAACAGACTAAAGAAATACTTCCCAAAACTCTGGACTGAGGCAGACCCTTGAGGGGACCATGTGCTCAGGCCTGTTTAACTCTCAGAACATCTGTTAGCTGGGAAGTAGCAGCTGAAGAACTGAGCTGTGGTTTGGGCAGTCTCAAAAGTAACACAATGTCAACCATTTATTTATTTATTTATTAGTTTGTTTGTTTATGAAAGCAAACATCAGTTATCAAAGCCTGACCTGGTGATGCTTCTGACCTTCTTCCGTGTGGATTGGAACCGAGCTACCTTTTCAGAGTGAACAGAGAGTGAAGCCAAGTTCCTGGTGAATTAAAGCTGGTCCCTATCACCTGAGTAATCTAAGGAAACACAATGCTTTCTTTTTATTTATCTAAGGTTTATATAAAGCCTCATTATGTTCCCATAGTTATCTCTTACAATCCTGTTTCAGACCCGTGAGTGCTGGGGTTACACATAACCACACAGTCTGAGGAAGCCTAAGTTTTAACTTGAACTAGAATTAAAGTGACTTGTGTTGCCTCCAGACTAGTGGAAGGGAACCAAAATTTTCTATGGGGGAAGACACCTTCATGCTGGGTCTCAAATGATTCTCATATGAATCAATGTTCAACATGCAAATATAAAAGCACACAGAGAAACAAGAGCCATATGAACAGGAAACACCCCCAACAGTAGCAGAAAACCTACAAATATTTGAGATATAAATTATCAAATTATCAATTATAATAAATAAGATATGTTTTTTCTATGTGTAAAGACACATACACAATAATACACACACACACAAAACTTTACAAAATCTAGCATGGTGCTTCACACCTTTTTTTTTTTTTGGTTTTTCGAGACAGGGTTTCTCTGTGGCTTTGGAGGCTGTCCTGGAACTTGCTCTGTAGACCAGGCTGGTCTCGAACTCACAGAGATCCACCTGCCTCTGCCTCCCGAGTGCTGGGATTAAAGGTGTGCACCACCAACGCCCGGCTGGTGCTACACACCTTTAATCTCAGCATTTGGGAAGCAGAGGCAGGGGAGGGGGTTCTGTATAAGGTTGAAGTCAGCCTGGTCTATACAGAGGTTTCATGCCAGTCAGGAATACACAATGAGATACTATTTTAGTGTATAGATCATGACAAGAAACAGTAAAAACAAAACCCTGATAGCACACGTGGAAAAGAGCTAAGTGAAGCCTTAAGTGGAGTGCATTACTCTGCTTGATCTAGCCTGACAAAATAGCACAGGTTGTATGCCTTAAAGAATACAAATTTGAGGCTGAGGGGGTAGCTTTGTTTGTAGAGCACTTTGCTACCACACACAGAGCCCTGGCTTACTCTAGTTCTACACAAACTGCTCCATACTTGGGAGATGAAAGCAGGAATGCTGGAAGCTCAAGGTCATCCCCAGCTACTTAAGCTGCTTGAGGCCAGCCTAATGTGTGGTCCAGGGCTCTCTAGGGAGCAGGATGAAGATATATCAAAAAGATCTTACTGCATTGGCTTACATGATACAGTCAGAGTAGCCCAGTGGTGGTTGTCTTATCCAAAGAGATCAAGAACTCAGCAGTAGACCAGTCCTCAGTCCGATCTCCCAGCAGCTGTCATGGCATGGAAGGCCTTGAAGATCCCTGTAGAGTCACAGGAACATGATGGACAAGCAGCTTCTCTCTTAGTTGATGCTAATCCAATCAGGTTGACAAACAAGGAAAACTGTGTATGTGGAGGAAGTAAGTTGCTGGGGATGGGCTTTCAGGGTTTGTAGTCTTGTCCCACTTCCTGTTCTCTCTGTATGCTTCTTGTGTATAGATGAAGACATGAGCAGTCTGCTTCCTGTTTCTCCCACCATGCCTTACCTTCTTGGTCATTTTGGACTCTCCCCCCTGGAATGGTAACTCAAAAACAATCATCTATAAATTGCTTTTAGTCATGGTATTTTATCACAGCATCAGAGAAGCAACTAATATCACACACACACACACACATTCACACATACTAGTGCATACACACACACAAAGAAGGCTCCATGATGAGATAAATGTGATATTTGTCTTTCTGATTCTAGTTCACTTACGATCATCTCCAGGTCTACCCATTTCCCTGGAAATGACATAATTTTTTTTTTGTGGCTACATAAACTCCATTGTGCTATAGTCCTTTTGGTATATTCCCAGACGTGGTATAGGAATATACGTTTTTGTTGTTGTTTCCTTTTTTAATGTGTGGGATGTGGATATTTTGCCTGCGTGTATGCCTATGTACCATTGATGCCCAAGGAGGCCAGAAGAGGGTGTTACGTTACCTGGAACTGCAGTTACAGAGACCCTTGTGGGCCACGTGTGGGTCTAAGAATTGAATCTAAATCCTCTAGAAAAACAGCCTGTACTCTTAAGTGCTTAGCCATTCTCCAACCCCAGTGATTTTGTTTACTTGTTTGTTTCTTGAGGAATTTCCATACTAGTTTTCACAGTGGCTGTAGCAGTTTACACGGCTTTCCAGAGTGTGAGAGTCATCCACCACCACTACACATCTTTGTCAGCATTTGCTAGTTGTTTATTTTTACTTTGGTTTTTGCTTTTGTGAAACAAGGTGTCACTCCATAGCCTAGGCTGGCCTTGAACTTTCAGCAACCTTTTGGTCTCAGTGTAGTATGCACTATACTGGCAAATTTTTATGTGCTGTTTTTGCTTAAGCAGACTCTGGGAACAAGAGATGGGCTGCCTCTCAGAATTGAATATGTCCTTGAATGTCCTCCAAATCTCCTTGTCCTGGGACAGGGTGACTCCTTAACTCTGGGGCAGAGAGAAAGGACAACAGCAAGTGGTTAAGGATATTAAAACTATTTCACTTTTGCAAACATCTGGAAGGTAAACTATTTCCACCGGAAGTTACTATTTATCACATGCTTTAGGAATGCCTGCAGTGGGAACAGGAAGGTAGAAGCTCACCTATGCAGAGATTGCTCTACTCTGTGCTCCCGCTCTGGAGCTCCCGCCCACTTCAGCAGGGCTTCCCTCGTCATTTCTGCTAGATGTTACAAGCGCCTGATTTGGTTATGTTGCTTTTGCTTGCTCTCCCAGCCAGGTTACTCCAGTTGTTCCTGCTAGATATTATAAGTTCACAATATATGGTGCTTTCACCTTCTGTCTGCTGCTTCCAACCATCTCCTGCTTATTCATTTGCTTTTGCTTGCTGCATGCTTAATAAACTTACTCATCTGAAACCACAGGCATGGCTACTGTAAATCAGATCCACATGGAATACAAGTGTGAGCCGCCACACTCAGCCTGCTTGTGTGTAACATGTATGAGTTGTATGTGAGTGTGATCACTCACCTGCCACAGCAGGCACGAGGTGGTCAGAGTTCAACCGTCGGGTGTCCATTTTCTAAATAAGTTCTGGTTTACAAGGGACTCTTGTCTCAAACAAGTGAACAAAAACTGACAACAACAGTAGCAGCAGAGAAGGATTTTTTTTAACAAAAAAAGAAGTATTCCTGTAGCTGGAGGGTTTATTATATCTAAAGAATCAAGATACAAATGCGTCTTTGATTACAGACAGAGAGAGAAAAGAGGAGAGAGGAAGAAGAAGAAATACACACACCACATTCTTCTCAATTTTAACACCCAGTGTTAAAAAATTGACAAACTATAAGTAAGATGTTTAAGACAATGATAAAAAGTTACATCCCTGTGAATATCAATGACAAACAAAACAACGAAATAACAACTTTTAATAGGCTTGAGAGATGGCTCAGAGGTTAAGAGCTGCTCTTAACCTCTGAGCCATAAGAGCAGCTCTTGTTGCTCTTATAGAGGACGGGGTCGGTTTCCAGGCTTCACATAGTGGTTCAAAACCATCCGTAATTCCAGTTCCAGGGCATCTGATGCCTTCTTTGGACCTTCATGGGTGTTAGACAAGCACACAGTGCACAGTCATACATGTAGGCAAAATGCTCATATAGGGGGCTGGAGAGATGGCTCAGAGGTTAAGAGCACTGACTGCTCTTCCAGAGGTCTTGAGTTCAATTCCCAGCAACCACATGGTGGCTCACAACCATCTACAATTCAATCTGGTGCCCTCTTCTGGTATGCAGGCAGAATACACACATATGTATGTAATAAATAAATAAATCTTTTAAAAAATGCTCATATAGTACAATAAAATAAACAATATTTAAAAAGAACAACTAAGCAGCACTTCCCAACAGAGTCAATGTTAGTATCAACAGTAGGCTAATCACATTTTCTTCTGTCTAGATTCCAATAAAAAATTAAATTTATTTTTATTTTTATGTGTATGAGAGTTTTGCTTACATGCATGTGTTCACACCATGAGTATACCTGGTGTCCAAGGAAGCCAGAAGAGGGTGTCAGATCCTAAGAAACTGGGGTTATAGATGTGGGTGTTAGGAACTGAACCCAGGTCTTCTGCCAGAACAGTCAATACTCTTAACTACTAAGCCATCTCTCCAGTCCCTAGATTCCAATTCTTAAGTTCATTTGTATAGTTTAAAATCCATGTTATTTAACTAATTGAATTATATTAATTTTTTTTTTGGTTTTACAAAATGTGTAGCCCAGGCTGGCCTCAAACTCGCGATCCTCCTGCCTCTGCCTCCTTCAGCAATTCCTACCAGCATGCGCCACCACAACCGGCTATATTAATTTTTAATCAGAAATTTGGTCAGGTTTTGGTGACTCAAGAAAGTCATGCAGAGCCTGGTGTTGGTGGCACACGCATGCCTTTAATCCCAGCACTTGGGGGGCAGAGGCAGGTGGATCTCTGTGAGTTCGAGATCAGCCTGGTCTACAAGAGCTAGTTCCAGGACAGCCTCCAAAGCCACAGAGAAACCCTGTCTCAACCCCTCCCCCCAAAAAAGTCATGCAGAACCAAGTAACTGAGGAGAGCTGACACATTAGACATTAGATAGCACTACCCACTTATTTCTGGAAGGTTCCACAGGACCAAGAGCCAGCAGTATCACTTTCTGTCTGTTCTCTTTCTGTGACGGAGTCCTTGCTCTGTGCTGATCACATTACTGGAGTGTTCTATTTTAGGTTAACCTTGAACAATTTGGTAACTGAAAAAGAAAATTTGACTTTAAAAACAGGGTCAAGTTATATAGCACAGACTGGCTCAAACTCACTATGTGGTCTGAGCTGGCCTTGTACTTGTGATCATCCTATGTTCTAGGATGACACATAAGCATCACCATATCTAGCTATTGGTGTTTTGCTTGTTTTTACAGTTTTGTGTGCAAACTCAAGGCCTCAAGTTAGGCAAATGTCTTACTGCTGAACTATGCCCTCAGCAGTAACCAACTTGGACCCATTTGCTAATTAAGCACCTGGCTTGCTTTTGTAGGCCTACACACTTACCTGCCCCACCAAGGGGTGCCCCAAAAGGGAGTAAGATGGGGGAGCCGAAGCCCATCTGTTTCCTGGATAAGGGGCAATGTCACTGAATCTCTGTGCCCCTCACAACTGTGCAGTTCCAAACACACCATATTTTCTCTCACATCATTTGACAGTGAGTAACTGCATGAAGGGATAGAATTCTCCAAGTTTAACTCTCCCTGAGCTGCCCCTAGCAGGGTTTCTTAAACTTCACCTGAGAAGTTTTTACAGGACCCCAGGCATATAGGCAAATAAAATAAATATATAAATAAAACATGTACTGATTGACTGTTTCCACAACATTTGCAAGTCTGAGGCAGGAGGATCAAAATTCTTTGGTACACATATTATTTTATGATTTATTAAAGAATAAGGCAAATTTGTATAGAAATGAGCTAGAAGTACTCATTTTTACACAGAATTAAATCTTGGCAAATATTTTCTGCTGCAAGAAAACAGTATCTTCAAAATTGTATTATTTAGTGTGTACCTGGTGTGTGTGTGAGTAAGTGTGTGTGTGTGTGTGAGTGTGTGTGTGTGCGTGTGCAGGCACATGTGTGCACAGCATATCTGTGGTGGTCAGAGGATAGCCTAAGAGAGTTGGTCCTTTCCTTCTGCCAAACAGGATCTGAGGATTGAATTTTGGTCATACGGTTTATACAGTAAGTTCTGTCATCTATGGTCATTTTACCAGCCCAATTGGAAGTTCTGCCCTAAAACTAAACTAAAATGCACTAACTGATTCATTTGTCTAGTTTTTTGGAGACAGGGTCTCACTTGGTAGCCCCAACTGGGCTTGAACTCACAAAGATCCTCCTCTGCCTACCAAGTGCTGAAATTAAAGTCATGTGCCACCACACCAGACTTACATAGTGATTTTTTTTTAATGAAACTCCGATCAGTAACTCCAACAGCAATTTTTAAAATCAAACACTTAACACAACCCAATCCAAACTTATAATAATTTAATGTTAAGGAATGACAGTAGGAAAATATTAAGCGTCTTTGTTTTCTATAATTAAACCACTGTGTTTCTATAACAGCAAAAACTGAAAACACTGCAGTCGGTAGCACACTGAGCTGAGTTGTTAGTCGCAGTTCTTGCTGGCCTTGTATTTCAGGTCACAATGGCTCACACAGTGAGTGCAGAGCTCACACCATCAGTGTGTTCAGAACCAAGGCTTCCATGAAACTGCACAGTGCAGCAAAGGCCAGTGCTGCCAGAAACATCTTGGATTTATGATGTATTTGATTTCGAATTAATTTTGGTTCTTGGGGTTTGGTAACCTTTCACTGTTTCCAGATGTTTTTATGTCCCTCTCCCATATTCAGCTACATAACCCCATGTGGAAACCATGACCCACAGTTTAAGAAGCTAAATTCTAGAGAACTTTAGAGTAGCTGCCCCCCCCCCCCGCAGCTCCCACTCATTCTTTTGCAGGCTGATCTGATGCGATGAATGCACTGCCTACAGCCTTCCAATACCTACTGCCACCTGTTCTTCTGTTTATAAATTCTAACGCAGCCTTAGGAGCCCCTAAGAAACTACAGCTGCAAGGAGGCCAGGAGGCCTTTTGTTCAGCAAAACATCTGTGCTCAGTTCCCTTTTCTCTCCCTCCCCTCCTTCCCTCCTCTCTTTTGTAATATTCAAGCATTCTACCACTAAGCTATATCCCAAGATTTGATTCCTTTCTCTAAATACAGTCTTTAAATGTTTTTTTAAATATATACTGAAAAAATTCTAATTCTAAACTCTTCGGTCAAGGTTAAACTAATTCTTTTTCAGTGAATTTACAGAGCCCCACCAACGTCTGTCTCCCAAATGGTGGAATTAAAGTCGTATGCTGCCACACCAAGCTCAAAACTTTTTTTTTTAAGTTTGAATTAAAAAAAAAAACCTTAGTTCAGGAGAAAATTGGATTTGTTCATCTTTTTGGAGAATAAATGTATTGATTTAGTTACAGCATGCAAACTGCCTTGGGATTAAAAAGGTAAGGCGCTATTTTGGCTGTTTGAAAGATTGATTTTTACTATTTTTAACTATGTGTAGGTGTGTCTATATGCATGTGAATATTTGCATGGGAGTGTAGGAAACTTCAGAGGACTTTGATCCCCGGAGCTGGAGTTACAGGTGGCTGTGTGCCTCTTGATGTGGGTGTTGAGTTTTGGGTCCTTCGTAAGAGCAGAAAGTGCTCTTAACTGTTGAGCCATCTCTCTAGCCATGTTTGGTTTTTGAGACAGGGTCTCATTTAGCTTTGCCTGGCCTAGAACTGACTCGGTATGGAAGGCTGGCCTGAACTCCTGATCCTCCTGCCTCCACCTCACCGGTATGGATTTTGTATCTTTGCTGATACTGATTAGGTCTGGAATAACCAACTTGTCCACGGCAACACCTCAATTTAGCCATAGTCTGTATAAAACTTTCCCAAGTCAAACAGCCCTGCACTGCACACACAAGTATGGTATCGGTACTGAGATAGTCACCAAAATAGCTGACATGTAGTTTAATTACAGACACTGTGATAGTTCAGGAGCCCACGAACTGTAAAAGCCCAATTCAGGATGACAAGATGCAGGGGAACAATGTCAGTTTCTCAAACCTCTACAGTTTTTCTTTTTTCCTGTGCTGAGCAAGCCTGGAGCACAGTAGACAAGTCAGACCTCAGGCCTCATGCATCTGGGCAACCCCAGACTTTACATGTTTTGGCTTCCTTAGATGTTTCTCTTATCGAAGTAGGTCAGTCCACTAAGAAGGTCCCAGTTTGGAGCAGTTGTCCAGCAGCGATGCAGCCAACACTGTAATTTCATCTCTGTTTTAAGATAAGGTAACTGATGGAGAAGGGTAGCAAGATCACCCAAGGCATCACACCACTAGGCAGTAACAAAACCAGGATTTGTAGCAAGAGGCACCCAACACTCAAAGGGAAGTGCCAGGTGTGCCTTCTGTGACTGGCAGCCCTGCAACTGCCTGGACATGACTTTGCTCTTCTCATACTATGAATGCTCATGCATCACATCATGCTTTCCATGAATTTCTTCTCCTGAGACTGAAGAATTTGAATTCAGAATTAAACACACAAATCCCACAAGGCAAAGGGCTTTGCTGAAGGCCTCTCTTAAAGATGGAAAGGCTAGTGGAATCAGTTGTCTCTCCCATGAGGTTTTGTCTTGGAGAAACAGATAAAAAAATTTATGTTCCTATCAGCCCTAAATAGTAAGAAGGTCCCAGCACTTGGGAGGCAGAGGCAGGCGGATCTCTGTGAGTTCAAGGCTAGCCTGGTCTACAGAGCGAGCTCCAGGACAGGCTCCAAAGCAGTACAGGGTTTTCTAAATCCTGTCTCAAAAAAAACCAAAAAATAAAATTAGTAAGAGGGATCACAAGCCGGGCGTTGGTGGTGCACGCCTTTAATCCCAGCACTCGGGAGGCAGAGGCAGGCGGATCTCTGTGAGTTCGAGGCCAGCCTGGTCTACAGAGTGAGTTCCAGGACAGCCTCCAAAACAATACAGAGAAACCCTGTCTCAAAAAACCAAAAAAAAAAAAATTATTTTGGGATAGTTCAACTATTTTTTTCTGTTTGAATAGACAATTTAAGGCCTAAAATTTAC